GACAAATGAGATGAATTGTTTAATTTAGGTGAGAGACCAAGCAAAGAAAGTGATTAGAAGAGTTGTGGGCAGCAGAAACAGGCTGACTCTGGGCTTGGGAGGAGATGTAAGCTGTGTGTCACCATTGTCTGGCCCAGGAGCTGCACTCCAGGTCTCTGAGCTGCTGTGGCTGCACTGACTGCTGGCTGGGAGCCACCTCTGCCACAGCAGAGCCAAAGAAATTAGCAAGTGGATTGTGCCATATCTGTGGATCAGAGCAGAGCCAGGGTGAAGACCAAGCAGCCCTTTCTAACCTTCTGATCAAAAAATGTACGAACAGACCAATACTGTTAAAGAGAAGCCACCAAATATTAGAGGATGTTTAAGGGTGAAGGGAGGCACTCTTGAGGAGCAGGGCCCAGCTGAAAACTGCAAATTCAGCTGAAGGAATAGCTGGAAAATGGTGACCATTCTGAACGTTTGTATTTCAAACAGTTGGTAAGCACATTCCCACAGCAGAACTCCACAAACCTCGTGGAGCCTAACTCACAACTATTCCCATTTTGTATCTTCTTCTGCCCCAAGCCCCATTTGTCTGGGTGATTTATGAGGTGAGCTCTGGCTGCACAAGGCTTCTCTCCTTCTGAATGGAGGAACAATTCAGATAAGGAACAAATCTCTTCTGAGTGAATGGAGGAAACTGGACTTAACTGCATTGACTAAGGTATTTATTGTACATCTAGGCCAGAGGAAGCTTAGCACTTTTAATACATATAAAACTGCAGAGTGCTGCTAGAAAGAGCAGAAACCAAACAAAACATATTCACAAGTTCCTTAATTATTTAAATTAAGCCACTAAAGTAAGAGGAAAGAAAGAGCAACAGATATCTATCAATCCCAGTGGCTGATTCCAGCCACCCACAGGAACTGAGGAGCAGTTGGCTCTGTGTCCCCTCAGGCACCCTCAGGCTGAGGAACAGCTGAATTGTAATCACATAACCTCCAACGGGCAGTGCTTTCGTGGCGGTTGATTTCATAAATTGTCTTGAGGTTCCTTGTCATGGAAGACATTGGATATAATTACAGACAAAAAAAAAATAACTCACAGGCCCGGTCCTGGGCAAGGTGCTTTGGCAACTCAGCAGCTCAGGGGATCATCAGCTCTTTGTAGACAGGAGCCCAATGCTAAGAGACAAACTGCAAGAAATAAATGTCTGTGGTACAACTCCAATGTGCCAGTTTGGAAAAGACCACACACAGCATTCCTGAGAGGCAATGACACCACAGAATTAAAAATTTTAAGTGCAAACCCCAACATCCATTTGCAATTGTTGGTGGTGAATCCATCTACTCCAGATGGGAAGAGGTCACTCTCTTCTTTTTCCAGGGCAAGTCTATGAATAATTTGAGTGATTAAAGCTCAAATCAGGTGTGAAAATGAAAAACCAGGAAAGCACATGGAAAAGAAACCACACTCACAAAGAGAGACTCAGCTTCCATTCTGGAATCAGGAAAGGCTCCTTCCATTTCTGTCCTGCCACAAAATACAGGTGAGCTCGTACATTTTTTCCCCAAAGAGTTGTCACTTTTAAAGGCACATTGAAATCTTATTTTTACTTTTTAGGTCTCCCTTCCTCTATTGGAGATGACCTAAATTTTGAGCTGAAGCACTCACAGCATCCTCGCTTGGAATAGAAAACAACAGCAAAAAAACATCAGGCTGTGAAAAGAGGCAAAATAATAGGAGGGAAAATTACAGTGAAGTCCTCCCTGAATAAGAGGAGGTCACAAAGGCTGCAGAAATAGAAGCTGAAGTGGTGCTATCCTGAGCCAGGGGACACAGAGTGGTTGCATTTACAGCCCAGGCAGAGGCCAGGTGGGCAGGATGTGAACCGAAGCAAACGGCTGCAGTTCTGGGAATGCCCAACAGCTCTCAGCATCCCCCTCCAACACTGCACCCTGCTCCCGGTGGAGAAATGCCACACACACCAAACTCCAACAGAAAAAAACCCTACAAAAACCTGAATGCTTTCTAGGAGCGTTCAAAGGGAATCAGACAGCTACAGCAAGGGGTAGAGGCAGTATTTGATATGTTAAATAGAAAAATGTATGGGAACACATGTAGAGCCCAATAATCAGCAGCAGAGACTACTGAGCATTCGTGCGGCTCGTCATTAACAAAACAAACCCCAAAATGTACTTGCAGATACATTGATTTTGCTTTATTTTATCATCTTAAATAGCCAGCAGAAACTAAGATTATAATCTGTGCCTTTTAAAAATTCCATTCAACAGATGTTCATAAACAGACTTGAGCCAAATTTCAGGTCCCCAAAAGGATATTCAGCCCGAGAACTTTTACAAATGGATAATAAAGTCCCGCTTTTCCCCTTGTAATCATTGCTTTTCTGAGACACTAAATCCTCTCTTAGCCTCATTACAAGTTCCCACCAGCATAAAATGTATTTTTCATTTCCATTTCCTATAGTATTGTTTTCCAAAAATGGCATTTCCCAGCACAAGACAACTCTCCTTCACTCCTTTTTAATGTCACCTCCTCAATACCAAAGGATTGTCTCAGTGACAAGGCTCTGTTCTTCTAAAAAGATGAAAAAAATCCAAGTGGTACTAATAAATATTTACTTAATGTAAAGAAAAGGGAATTCAACAGTTAAGGATGAAAATTACAGGGGGGAAAAAAAGGTGTTTGGAAAGGAAAGGCTGTAAGAAGTTCAGTGCTGTTTATGAGAACGACTGCTCAATGGCTCCTTGTGGGACACAGCGAGATGACTTCTTTAAAAGTATGGTCTAGAAATACCCCCAAATCACTGAAATGATAAGTCACCCGAGTATTTCAGCTGCAATACAAAATTAAGAAATATCAGGACACATAATGAAAATGGTGGAATGAAACCAGCATTGCGCTGACTTGTCTATGTTAAAAGGGGAAGGGGACTGAAGTGAAAGGTTTTATTTTTACTTAATTACTCTCAGTGCTCCCTGGGGACTCCTTCCAAAGCCTATTTTGTATTTGGACCTAAATGCAAGCAGGATTCAGCCTTGATCTGATTCCTTATGACAATATGTTTCTTAAATTAGAAGTCCCACAACTGGAATGTTGACACCACTGCTGGTTCCTCCAGCACCTCAGAGTCACTCCCGTGCTATCAATCCATTAACCCGGGAAGCAATGAGAACAGGAGACCACAGACTGTTCAAAATTTAAAAATCCATCCACAAAACAACACTTTGCGAGCATACAGCAGCTTTCATCCATTTCTATGTATGTGGAAATGGGAAGTCTCAAAATACTTAAAAAAAAAAAATCAACAAACCCACCTAACTTCAAGGTATTGTGAAATGATAACATATTAATTGAGCGAGCATCCACCTGTGATGCGATTTAAGAGTCTCCTACTGCAGCATTTCACACATATTCAATCCACCTTCTGGTTACAGCGTGCAAGTTTATGGTATGTAGAAGGAACAGCAGAGCTGGTTAAAGATTTTCTCTTGCTTCACATACTCTGCAAGCTTCTCATTAACTCATACATGACTTTAATCAGTGCTGAAGCACACACTTCCTTCAGCATGCAGCAGGACTGAGCTGGGGAAAAATCCTCCATAAAATATTATTGTAACCATGAATTAATAAAGAGAAGGGCAACGTTTTCCTAAAGTGGCTGCCGATTGTCATCTATAAAGGGTTAAACCGACCTTCGCTGATCCAGAAGAGGTAATAAAATAGAACTTTAAGGACAAAAATGGAGCACTTCAAGAGATTATTATGAAGAGCCACATTCAAGAAGACAAAACCTTATTCTTAAAGCACAGATGCTTCTGAAACAAGAGATCGCACGTTTTTAACAGCACATTGCCAAGCGCTTATAATGAATAAGCAAAACGAGGGGAATCAGGGTGTTTTTTTTTCCTTTTTCCTTGGAGCTCAGAGGGAAGGGGCATTCATGGATGTGGCAGCAGAGGCAGCTCCGCACTTCTGCAGGGCTGTGGAGCTGGTGCTGGTCGGCGTGTGGGGGGAGAAAACAGAGTAAAACCTGAGAAAAACCCATCAGAGCTCCTGTCCTCCCCTTCCAGCGTTAATGGGAGGGATACGAGTCCATGGGAGCTGCAGTGGGGGATGGTGCTGGCGGAGGGGGTGGGGAGAACCGAGCGAGGCCTTACAACCATCAGCAGCTCTTGTTCTTGTTCCTTTCAGCCTTAGCAGGAGGATGTGAAGCTCATGGAGCCGGCAGCGGGATGTGGGGGGGGGTGGGAAGCAGCGCAGGATCATAGTTTAGCTTTTGTCCTCTCTCCGCAGGGTTAATAGGAGGACACGAGTGTCACCGGGATAAGGGCAGGGCCGGGGGGGATCGCAGCTCCCCGCAGGGCTACCGGCAGCGTGTGCTGGGGTTTGTGGGGTCCTGTGCGAAGTCACAACACCCGCGGGCGAGGTGTGTGGGGGGGAAACGCGGGGCAAACTTCCCTCAACGTGGCGGCTCCGCTTATCCGGCACGGCGAGCCCGGGGTGCCCCGCGGGGTGGGGCGAGCCCCGGCCTTATCTGTGGGGCGCAGGGAGCGCGGCTCCGCAGCCGCGGGCAGGGAGGCAGCGAGGGAGGGAGAGCCCAGGTGCGCTGCCAGAGGGAAGGGGGGCACAGGCGGCCCCGCAGCCGCTCGGAGGGCGCTCCCTGCCCGCAGCGGGTGCGCGGGGCTGAGGCGCGATCCCGGCCCCAAAACAGGGGAAAGTTTCCCCAAACTTTGGCGCGGGGGTCCCGTCCCCCCTCAGCGAACCCCTCACGGCACCCCGCCCCCGCCGCAAGGGGAGGGGGGCGCTGTTCCCGGCTCCGCGCCGCGTTTTCCCGCTCACCCCCCGCTCCCCGCGCCTCCTCACTCCTCCGCGCCTCCGGATCCCTCCGCCGCAGCCGGCGCTGGGGCTTTTTCACCTCCCCCACCCCCACCGCTTCATCCCGATTATCCCGCCCGAAGTTGCGGCCAGGATGCGGGAAGGGAAACGCTTTTCCCACCCTGTTCCTGTAACGGGGTCCCGGCTACAGGGACTCTGGGACGGAGCCTTTTGCTGAGTGGCGGAGAAGAGGCGGTTGGGACTACTTGGCGTTCCTGCCACGGCCTCGGCGGAAGGAGCGCGCTTGAGCGAGAGGCTGTGCGGTACTGCGGCTCTCCTCAGCGCTTCCTGGAAACTCCCGCTTAGGAGCGAGGGGGGGCGGGAGCGAAAGAGTCCCAGGCCGGGAATGGGAGGGGGGCAGGGCACAGCCCTTTCCCCGTGCCCGGACGCCCCTCGAGCCCGCTGACACCCCTCAGACCGACACTCACCCCCTCTTCCTGTGCAGATGGAGCAGGGAGAAGTAAGGGATAAACTCCCTCGTAACCGCCGTGCGGGGCGATGGGGGCTGAACCTCTTTTCCCCTCACAATCTGGAGAGTGAAAAGGCAGACTCCCCCTTTCCCCTCACAACCTGCGGTCTGGAAGAGCAGACGGAAGACCCCCATTTTTTTCCTCAGAAGCTGGGAGCGCCCCTCTACCCCCAAAACTGAGGATTGGGAAGCAGGGGAACGCAACGGAGTGGGATGGGGGAAAAGAGCCCGGCATGGCCGGGGGACAGGGGGAAGAGACCCTCCCCGAAAAGAGCCCCTTTGCCCCCGAGGTCCTTGGGATGGGGGCGATCCCTGGATCCGGGGGCCTGGGAGCGGGCTGAGGCGGCGCGGGGGAGGGGAGGCCGGGCTGGTAAATGCAAAACGCTGGTACAGAAGCGTTTTAGCACAATCGGGCTGGAAAGCTCCGACTGCAACGGGCTGAGAACAAAAAAAAAAAAAAAAAAAAAAAAAAAAAAAAAAAAAAGAAAAAGAAAAACGTGAAAAGGCTCCTTTGCTGCCCTCTGCCTGCCGAGGCTGCGGGGGAGCCCGGCCGCCTCCGAGGCTGGCGAAGGGCTGACATTGCCTGAGTGAAAAAACGGAGGAATCCGAGCCAATTCGCACACCTGTGTTGCTTCCACAAAATCAGTTAGGTTGGAAGAGACATCTGAGATCATCGAGTCCAACCTTTCCTGGCTCTGGATGCACTGAGTTATCCTTTTTCCTACGTGTGGATGTGCTACTGTTCACCTCACTTCCAGACAACTTCAGTAGAGGTAAAACTCCTTCCTCTTACACTAGGCTGAAGAATGTCTCCAAGCCCAAGAGGGTTTTGGGGTCTGTGCTTTAATATTTGAATTATTTAATGACACAACAGTATAAATGCCTAACACATGTAAGCCACAAAAATTAAAAAAAAAAAAAAAAAAAAAAAAAAAAAGTGGAAAAAACAGGAGGGTAGAGCGAGTGTGCTGATAAATGCCTGTGATACACAAACACGGGCAGTAAATACCGTGTGGTTCATTAGATACGGGCTGGGGTGATCCTGCCCTGCAGTTAAAGGCCTCTCGCTTCCTCAGCCTTCTGCAGATTGGTGCCTTGTACCAGCTCCTCTCCCGCTCTGCCGGTTTCCAGTTTGCCACCCTTTAAATGTGGAGCTGTTGATCCTCTCTGTTATTACAATGCAACTCTTTGATGCCCAAAGCCCCTTCCTCCACTGAATCCACAAGTTTCAGGGATGCTGGGACTACACAGGAAAGGCAGGCAACGTGTAATGAAATTATGTGGAAGAGAAAGATCCATTAGAGCAAGGAGATACCCGTAAATCCTGTTAGCAGCCAAGTATTTCCATAGAAATTTCCTGATTTTAGATGCCCAGCACCTTTCCTATCTGTTTCCTTAACACCATTCCTAAATCCCTGCGTGGCTTCATTTACAAACCTAAACCCCAAATGTAAATTGGTGGGGGAGGATCTCTTTGAAATTCTGTCTCCTTGGGTTTTAGCTCTAAATTCCGTAGTTCAGGGTCTACTGGAAAGGGCAGCCTCCAGCTCTTGGACCAGGAATCATCTCTTGGCTTTAGACTCCTCCAGCACCGCTCAGTTAGAGATGAGCTGTGTTAACATCTTTTAGTTACGTGCTCTTTGTTGAACTTTTATTCCTTTGCTCTTTGTACCCCAGTCAGTGCAGAACAGCTTGTAAATACATGGATTTATTCTGTCTGCCCCACACTGCTTCCCTTAAACATCAAAATATTAAAACACAAAAGCTCCCCGATTACTCATCAGCAGATCAGTGACTTTACACACAGGCAGCTTTCTCTGGAGTAAATTAAAACAACTCCTTCGAAAAATTCGAGCTGAGGTGGATTGTTTCCAGATTCCCAAGAACTGGGAGGGACAATGTGCCCAACACCAGGATCCTCAGAGCGGCTGCAAAAGGTAAAGATACATCTTGGATCCTGCAATTAAGTCCAAATTAACTATTCTGGATTAATTTTGTTCAGTTAATGATGTTAATTGCCTGCCTGGCAGACTGTTTAGGATTTGGAACCGTTTAATGACTGCTACATAAAGATTTTGCAGTTGGGAGTGATTTTTTGATAACAGATCCAATACAAATCCCTGTCCGGCCTCCCAGTTGTGTTGGCTCCCCAGTGCCAGGTGGAAGGGCAGCGCTGCTTGGTTTGCAATGTTGCTTTTAAGTGATTACTACATCCAGGGCAGTATTTACACCTGCATTTTTAATGTTTTGGCTAAAAACATTTTGTATTTTTAAACTTATTCAAGTAACTCAATCCGAAGCAGACATTCTGCTGAACCCAGAGTAGCAGAATCCAGTAAAAAGGTGTTAGCTTTATAAAGCTGAGCACATTTTAACCGGGGGAAGCTGGGTTTATGGGCCCGGAGTACTTGGGACTCGCTGCATTTGAAGTGATCTCACTGAAATACCACTGGAAGGCACTGCAGGAGACCCTGCTTTTCAGCTTCCCAGCCTTCTGCCAGGCCTCTGGCAGAGGATGAGGGAAGTTTACAGGAGTTTCCTAAACGGGAGAGGAAAGAAAAGTCATTTAAACAGTGTAGTTGTGAATCAGAGGCTGAGGAAACGTGATCGTGTGAAGGGAATCCCACGGTTAAGGAGAGAAACGCTCCTGTGCCTCTGTGCTCAAGTGGAAGCCCCAGCAACGCTGCTGCCCAGTCACAGCTCCCACGTAGTGAGGTGGAGATTCCCCGGAGATTATCCAGCCAAAGCAAACACGCTGGAGGGGTCAGGCAGGTGCTTTTGGAGGAGGAGGAGGGTGTTTCAAACACACTCCTCAGCCCTCCACATGACCTGTCTGGCATCCAGCAAGGCTGAGTTAGTCCTAAGGCCAAGGGAGTAAAATGCAGGTAGAAGATAGAGGTGCCTGCTCTCCATGGCTGCCATGGAGAGAACACAAGACAGCAATGAAATTTCCAAGGCATCATGCTCATTTTTCATCAAACACCCGTTAGTAAAATTGTTTTCTTTGCTTTTGACAAATCAGTTCAAGCCCACACACATCCTGCAGGATACATTACACTGGGGGCTTGAGCCTCTTTCATTTCCCAAACAGCTCTGTCACCCTGTTAGTGATCATCTACCAAAGCACTCCATTGCACATCCCTCATGACACAAGAATTCCTAATATTTGTACTCTTCGTAATGAATGGAGGATGCATTGATGGATAAGCCAGATACAGCATAAATATCAACACAAGTGGCTAAACTTGATTCACATTTTTGGTGCTGTGGAGTTGCCCTCTTACAAATCTTTTTGCTGTTCTCCTGGCCTCAACAGATTTAGAATGGTATTTCAAAGACCACTGATGACACCATTCAGTAGCTGGCAAGACAAAGAATCCATGGATGGAGTTAATAAGGGAGATAAAAGCAGTCTGTGCCCCAAACCCAACATTTTCACTGTGCACGTGGGCTGGTTGTGTGAGCCAGATGCAGAGAGCTCCAGGGATGCTACGCCGCAATCCTACAACCCTAATTCTTGTGCATTTAAGGCTGTATCTGATTAGGCATTTCTGTATTTTCTGAGTATGTAATTATCTAGCACAGTACGTGCGAGTCATGGAGTAAACCCAGTTGGGAGTGGAGCACTGGGAAGGGGAGAAAAGGTCTGAACGTGGGTGGGTGGGTTTGTCCATGTCGGTGATTGCAGCAGCCTGGGAATACAGTGTGGAAAAAACCTTTCCTGGAAAGAAACTGAGATGAATCCCGGCATTGTGCTGCGAGCAGTTGTCACCTCCCTGTAGACCACGAATGAGGTGATGACTAGATCCCAGATCCTTGTGGGATCCTCATGAGGAAGAAATTATTTACTCAGAAGGTGGTGGGGCCCTGGGCACAGGATGCCCAGAGAAAGCTGTGGCTGCCCCTGCATCCCTGGAAATGTCCAAGGCCAGGTTGGTGGGGCTTGGAGCAATGTGGGACAGTGGGCCATGGCAGGGGGTGGGGGGGGATGGGCTTTAAGGTCCCGTCCCACCCAAATCACTCTGTGGTTCTGGTGGTCTGTGATCCAGAGCACCCCCTTGGGTACAGTCCCAAGCAGGTGACAGCTGAAGAAACAGAAGTTTCAGGCTTCTCAGAGTTGAAGAATTAAGGAAATCCAAGTGTCCTTGCTGTAAATGCAAGGTAAATTATTCATTCTCTCTCTCTCCCCCCTCTTTCCTCCCTCTAGTTCAGTTTTTCTTTTCATGCTTTAATCGTTTTGACACCAAGCTGTACAAAAGTAATTTAAAATTAACATGACTGACACTTGGTAGATAGCAGGACCCAGTGCAGGGCTCCACCTTCTACTGGGAACTGCTGAGAGGGGCTCTGGATTGGCTGCAGGACCTGAGGCAGTTGATGGGGACTAAGGAAAAACATGGCAAACAATTAATTTGCTAATTTCGTTTTCTGTTTAATTTGAGACCAGAAAATTGTCAGGCACTCATCAGCCCACGAGCAAGGCTGAGTGGACTCAGGGCGGTGCTGCACTATTGGCAGCAAGGAGGGGATGTGTTTGATTAGCCAGCAAAGCATTTTCTCCTGTGGTACAGGTGGCATTTCACAGCATGTTTGAGCTCTGAGGTTCTGCAGTGCAGCTTCTGTGTCACCTCTCCCCATTTCAGTGCATTTTGCACATCTGACAATGGTCTTTTTCACTTGGGAAGGAGGTGACGTGGACATGCGTGCTGCAGAACAGCTGGGAAAAGTTGTCACCTCAAACACAGAATGTGCCATAGTCCATCATTACCTGCTACTGCCACACGGTGCCTTGGTCAGCTGGGATGCTGACAGGGATAACTCCGCACACTGTGAGCATAATGGACCCGGATCAGGACTAATGTCCTTTGATGGGGAAAGAAATGCTCTAATTTGATTTCCTCCCTTCAGCTGCTGAGTGTGTAATTTCAGATCTGCGCAGAGCAGGCCCTTTACGCTTGCGTTTGGGCCTATTTTTGATTGATTAAATTGAATTGTATCTATTTATTTCACGCATCCAATTCAGGATTTCACTAGTGGCTCGTCAGAGTGAGAACGTGCACGTTTATCGTGAGTGAGAACTCACCACAGCCCTCAATTTCCTCTGATGCCTTTGCCGGGATTTGGTGCTGTGCGGG